GTCAGATTCAGCATCCGAAGCAAGCCTGGTAGTGTACATCCTTAGATGTATCCTCCATGCAAGTTTGGTCAACATAGGACTTATAGTTACTTGTAAATGAGACCTGCACCAAAAACATTCAACTGTTCACTCAACCGGAAAATGTAGGTCAGATTCAGCATCTGAATCAAACCCGGTAGTGTACATCCTTAGATGTATCATCCATGCAAGTTTGGTCAACATAGGGCTTATTGTTCCTTGGAAATGACACCAACACCAAAAACTGCACTAAAAATGTTAACCTGCTCCAAAAACCTTAACCCGAGGGTATTACATAAGCTCCCCCAACTTCGTTGAGGTGAGCTAAAAATGAGCCAGAGCCTGAAGGTGTCTGAATAATTCAAAATGGACACTGATTTACATTTTGTAAGATCCCATCAAGTACGGTATATCTAATCCAATCATGCAATTTTCTAATAACCTAGAAACTCGATTAATAAAAATTATCAAACCACATGCATGCTACTTGATGCAAATGTATCAAGAGATGTTTGTAAAGCACTTATGACCCCACCCCAAATAACTGGAATTTTTCTAAATGCAAAGGGCATAACTCTGTCAAAAACGGCTTGATCGTATCCAGAACAGAACTTGGCCTAGATATTCATATGATAAATCTTTATACCAAATTTCAATTCAAAAAGCTTTCACATGTGTCATCTTTTCTTGCCCAGTGGTTCTAGAGAAGATTTTCAAATGAACCCCACACAACTTTTACTTTTTTCTTTAATTATCTCCCCTTAAAAGAAGTAATGACCATTCATTTGAACAAACTTGAATCCCATTTACTTTTTAGTTTGGTTGAAATTGACAAAGTGGTTCTGGATCTGGAGAAGATGATGAGGACTGTAGACAACAGACAAATCTCACTTTAGCCTTCAGCTCAAGTGGGGTTAAACAATGTATTACATATTACATGTATTTCTTTTAGTAGTTTGGACAATATGGACCATAAATAGAGCCAGGGTAGCTCAGAATTTAAAGCACAGAATTATTTCATTTCCAAATACAGGAAGAAAACTATGAAAAACACAAGTATAAAGAACAAGGTTCACTTTTGCCTTATTTGGCACTGTGAATTTCTGAAAAACTGAAACAGCATAGTTTTAGTTTACAATGCATTGAATATCACTTAGATCTTTGGTGACTGCGTATCTATCAAAAATGACATAATTTTCTGGCTAGTCAATGCATTATGATGTCATGAAATGCGTCAATTTCCTCATATTCTGAAAAAGTCTACAAAAACGGCCAATTTTTAAAGCTATTTTTCGACATTTAACATAGAGCGCAACCTCTATTCTAAAATATGCAACTAGTACATGATAGAACTGGTTCCAAGGATTAAAAGACACGTTTTAGTTTTTAGATCAGAGAATGCGCTCATATTATTTTTCTTCACTGGAAGTACTCAATTATACCTTTTTACCTAAATATTCAAGAACATTGCAATTTCATAAAGCCTGTTCTCCAAGACCTGGACTCTTATGAGAAAATTTTTAATAGGATATTAAAGCACTAAGTCTCTACTTTATTTTAATGCTTCAAATGGAAAATCAAGTCATAATCAATCAATTAGTATATCTACAGGGCCATTTTATGCATAAAATGAACCGACCTCTTTGATAAGAAAATCTCCTCTAAATCTTTATGGTTCATGTGAGCTACATCCAGACTTAAATATGTAAAACATTCTTAATAAATAAAATTTGCATGAACTTCAAAGTATGTAATAATTTGAACAAACTGACAAACAACAAGAGATGTTTGTAAAACACTTATGCCCCCCTCCCCCACAAATTGGAATTTTTCTAGGTCCAAAAGGGCATATCTCTGTCAAAAATGGTGTGATCATACCCAAAACATATCTTGACCTAGATATTCATCTGACTAATTTGTATAATAAATTCCATTTCAATATGTGCAACCTCTCAAAAGAAAATGAATGGAAACTGCAAATAATTGGAATTTTTTCTAAGTCCAAGGGGCATAACTCTGTCAATTATGGTGCGATCGTACCCAAAACAGAACTTGACCTAGATATTCATCTGACTAATCTGTATATTAAATTCCATTTCAATGTGTGCAACCTCTCAAAGGAAAATGAACAGAAACTGCAAATAATTGGAATTTTTGTAAGTCCAAGGGGCATAACTCTGTCAATTATGGTGCGATCGTACCTAAAACAGAATTTGACCTAGTTATTCATCTGATATACCTGTATACCAAATTTCATTTCAGTATGTGCAACGGTTATGAAGAAAATGAACGGAAACTAAATGGACCGACAGACCGACCGACAGACAGCAGCAAACAATATGCCCTCCCTTCTTTGAAGGCGGGCATAATAAGATAAAGTTTACATAAGAAAACAGCCATGAAACAAATTGAAAATATAAAACTGTAACATTATCAAATGCTGGAAAGTAATAGTTGCTCTCTCTGACAAATGTGGGACTAACTCGTTGAAAAAAGTAAGCTTAGCATGATGCAATATAACAATGATAGCAATTATACAGCATGGAAGGATTTAAAATAAACCCATTTTTAAACAAGAGATGTTTGTAAAACACTTATGCCCCCCTCCCCCTAAATTGAAATTTTTCTAAGTCCAAAAGGGCATAACTCTGTCAAAAATGGCACGATTATACCCAAAATAAAACTTGACAAAGACATTTTGATAAATCTGTGTACCAAATTTGATCTCAGTATGTGCAACCTCTACAAAGAAAATGAACGAAAACTGCAAATAATTGGAATTTTTCTAAGTCCAAGGGACATAACTCTGTCAAAATTGGTACCCAAAACAGAACTTGACTGAGATATTCATGTAAAATATCAGAAAATTTCAGTATGTACAACTGTTGCAAAGAAAATGAATGGAAACTGCAAATAATTGAAATTTTTCCAAGTCCAAGGGGCATAACTCTGTCAATAAAGTGCCCCGCCACAGCATGATACGCCCGTCAAATATTGTTCAATATTCATAAATTGGTTGGGGTGCAAGAAAATCAGGTAACCTTGTTTAACAGAGTGACACATGCAGATTTCAATGATCTAATTTCCATTTCTTATCATGTTTAAAATATTGTACATACATCTCTAAGAGACTTACAGTGTAGGGATTAATTATAACAAATAATACATCATATAATTCTAAACTGGCTGTGTTAGAGCATAACAAATATCCATCTGCAGCTTTAAATTGTTTATTGCATATTTTATGAAATAATGGAAATGCTACAGTCTAATAAAAAATCAAAAATAAATTATTCTTTAGACTATAAAATTCTAAGTGAGTCATGAATGCAATTTGTTGCAAATATATAAAAACTGAAATGTAATTTTTTTTTCAATGAACACATATACAATTAGTTTTAATTATGTTATACAATACTGATTTAGTTTTAATCATACACTAAAACATCAATTTGTTTTAATTACATTACATCAATTGAAAGATCTTTATCTGAACTATAGCCATCAAGAACTCTTAATTAACACAAGCAACTATGAGGCCATTTCTTTTTACCCAACTCCCAAGAGATAAATTAAGATAACACAGCTGCATGATCAGATCTAGAGATGCTCTTGCTTTACAATAAACTCATTAATTTCTCTCTAATTTGACATGCAAATTTCTGCTATCAAAATTCTTCTTGACCAGTGCTTGATAATTATGCCCATGGGACAAACTGAATTCCTCTCAAAACATTAACATTTGTTACAGATTGCTGTAAAGTATATGAATATGAAAAAATAAGTTTTTACTTAATTTAACATTTTTTAATAAGGATACAACTATATATTTAGATTTTTTAGGATTATGAAATTTAAAATTTAAAAGACTTGGTTTTTTTAAAAAAATTTACTTAAATTAAAGGTCACAGTGACCTTGAAATAGACCGCGACACACCTTCTACCATAGATGTATACTTTTGCCAAGTTTGAAAGCTCTAGGTCTAATAGTTTTCTAGTTATGAGCCAGACAGGATTTTTCCATATTTGGCTTTAGCATCTTTATTAAAGGTCAGAGCGACCTACTTTTTGTGCACGACACACCGTCTATTCAAGAAGTATTAGTTGACAAAGTTTGATAATCCTAGGCCTAATAGTGTTCAAGTTATGAGCCGTACATGAATGGACAGACGGACATGAAGCCTATAACGTAATACGTCCCGTCTTAAGAAGGGTGTATAAAAATGGTGCGATCAGACCCAAAACAGAACTTAGCCTAGATATTCATGTGATATATCTGTATACCAAATTTCATTTCAATATGTGCAACAGTTGCAAAGAAAATGAACGGAAACTAAGTGGACCGACAGATCAACAGACAGCAGCAAAGCAATATGCCCTCCCTTCTTTGAAGGGGGGCATAAAAAGGCTGGTAAATAAATGTTTTGACAGGCAATAAATTACAATTTAGAGAATTAGAGAAGAGAGATCTTTCCTTCTGTTGTCGAATTCTCAGGAGATATAGATAACACATGATCAGAGATGCCCAACTTCCCACACTAAGCTCATTAATTATCTTTAACTGGATACATGTCAACTCATATCTCCTTAAGGACAAATGGATAGATTATAATTGGAATTTTTCTAAGTCCAAAGGGCATAACTCTGTAAAAATGGCACGATCGTACCCTAAACAGAACTTGGCCTAGATATTCATCTGATAAATCTGTATACCAAATTTCATTTCAGTATGTGCAATGGTTGTGAAGAAAATGAACGGAAACTAAGTGGACCGACAGACCGACAGACAGCAGCAAAGCAATATGCCCTCCCTTCTTCGAAGGGGGGCACAAAAATGCCAATTTAAAAGATGTCAATTCTTGCAAAGAACCTGCAGCTTGCCACTTTGAAAAAAGCATCAATAATTATAATATCGGATCCATGCATCTCTGTTCTATATGATAACGTGTACTGTTATTCAGGGATAAAGCTAAATCCTCGTAGGACAGAAATAGTGTAAGCTCTTCTCCATATGAGCTAAAATGTTGCATGCAGAAATTCTTGAAAGACAACAGCAAATGCAGAACATAAACCTACAATGAGGAACAACAGATGATTTACAACGGCACATGGCTGAACAGATAGGAAACTGATTCTCCGTTATGTGTCCTTCTGACGGCCTCCGCCAAGATGATGGAGATGTCTATACACTGAAATAGTCCATGTCACCATTATATAATATAAAATTGTTTGGAGACATTGATCAGCATCAGGTAGGTGGCATTGAAATATTCAGTGAACACATACAAAGTAGTGCCATAAACAAGTGTGTGATTTATCATTTAAGGGGGGTGAAATATTCAAGTACAAGAATGTATTACAGTGATAGGTTCAAAACTTACTCAAAAAAAAAAAGAGAGGAGAGAGTATTGCAAAATGTGGTGGTTTTCTAATAGGTGCCAGTAATATGTAAGACAGTGAAGAAAGTAGCAAACTCGGAGTATCTGGCAATTGGAAGAAAGAGTTATGGAGCTTTGGAAAAGTTATGGTCCTTTGCTTCATTCAAATCCTATTCATCTCAGTGAATAAATATATTATTCAATTTATTTTGTTTTTACCTTTCCACAACCAAATTGCCTCCCAGTTTGATTTAGATTGCTAGATATACCAGTGCATAAAGTACATAATCTTGAGCATGATCACCTACTTTTATTTTTGGAGCTGACTTCATTCTTTCTTCCTGAGGAATGGTGTTTGTCACAACAACAGCTTCAAACACAGAGTTGTTAATGCGAGATATGGCAGGTCCTGAAAATATTCCATGAGTGCAGATGGCATAGACTTTGGCTGCCCCTGCTTCTACCAGCCTGAAAAATGACAGATTCAAAGATGATAGAAAATGATTTTTTCTATAATATCCAACTTTCATGCATTTTGGAAGCATTCAAAATTTTGGTTGAAAAAAAAAAGAAGCTGGATGGTTTAGTTTTCCTTCTTCAGAAGCCAAAACACAGTCCATTATACCATCAGGTCTATGAACATAAATACATGATAATTATCCTTATACTCAGAAGTTGTAAAGCGATATTATTGGTTTGCATACTTTTCTGCGGCGTGACAGAAAGTTCCGCAGGTGTCGGCCATGTCGTCCACCAGTATCGCGATCCTGTCCTTCACGTCCCCGACTAGTACCATAGTCGCCACCTCATTGGCTTTCTTCCTCTCTTTGTGGATCAGCGCAAAGTCAACATTCAGTCTGTCTGCAATTGAAGTCACTCTGTGGGGAAAAAATTGTTCAATTATATTAGATATGCTTTTGATTATACAAAATCTACAAAATGGACGGACATATGCCACAAAGTAAGCTAATAGTGCTATAAAAGTCTATCTTATTTAGTAGATTTTAAGAAGGAAAACAAACAGAGGGAAAAAATTTACAAAGAAAAGGTAAGTTCAAATCTAAGGGTACTGTAAACCACTTTTTAATTGGGAGAACTTTTACATTATTATGCTCTGTTCATGAAAATTTCATTTAAGGAATGAATTTGATAGCTACCCATTTTGTACGGTATAAACTGGGTTGGGGCAGTTTACGCTTTATAAACCGCGAAGCGGTTTATAAAAAAGCGTAAACTGTTCCAACCCAGTTTATACCGTATAAAATGGGTAACTATTAAATTCATTGCTTATAATTTAATTTTCATTCATTTGATGTAAGAAAAAAAGATGATAGTTCTAACAAAATGACTTCAATTTGTACAAAATTTGAATGTAACGTCAGGCGGATTGATACGTTTTTTGACGCAAGTCATTGTGACGTAGGCAACCCATTTTATATGATATAAAGTAAATTTTTTATCCAATCAAATACAGCGTTACAACCAGAATTAAATTGTTCTCACAAATTTCTTTAGAATAAGACAATATATACATTACAAAGCAATCATGAAATTTTTGTTTTGGTTATAAATACCAAATACCTATCTCACAAAAACTGGAGTGTCACAATAATTGGTTGATCTACAGAACAAGTGTTTGTGTTCATTTTAGTATCTTATTGTTTTGTAACAGTACCTCTTGGCACCTCCAGCATCAGGGGAGACAATGCAGCTGTTTCTCCAATCAGGAATGGTGTCCTTAATCCACTTCAGGACTGCTGGCTCAGCATATAGATTGTCCACGGGAATGTCAAAGAAACCCTTTCAACATATTAAAAAAAATCATTCTACAACTAATTACTGTAAAATCACATATTTTCGTGGGGTCAAATTTTCGTGGTTTGAGTAAAAACTCTTGGTTTGTGGGGATCTGAATTTGTGGATGAATAATCGTTGAGTAGTTACGTATGTGACATTTTACATTTTGTGGTGGACATGAATTCCTGGGTCTCTTCATACCTCAAAAACAACAAAAATTAAACCCCCTGGCCCACAAAAATTTGTGATTTCACAGTATCATGATTTACAACTACTGGTCATATTTCAATCCAAAAACTCAAATACATGGAATCATATTCTAGGCTACAGTTTTCTCTCCAAAATTCTCACAAAAATTTCACCTGAATCTGAGAAGCGTGGAGATCCATGGTTATAATGTGGTCAGCTCCAGCTACAGATAACATGTTGGCCACTAGCTTTGCTGATATAGGGGCTCTGCTCTGAAAGTAACAATTACAAATTTCATAAAAAATGATTCACTTACATGAGATTGGTAGATTAATTGAGAATAAAATAAGTTTCAGAGATAAAAAATTTATCTCTGAAACAGCAAATACATTGGGGGAGGCTCAAATACTGTAAATCACTTTTCATTCGTGAGAATTATGCAAGTCTGTCTGCTTGTGAAAATTTTATTCTCATGTTTATTTGTAATGTGAAGGATTGATTGTAACAATAACACAGCTCACAAAAATTTTGTCTTGCTTATAAATAATGAATACAGATTTTTTGAAATTAAAAAAAAATTCACTGGTCAAGTGGACCAGTGATTTAGTGAAATTCACCAGCCCACACAAATATTCACTGGTCCATCAACAAACCAAATTCAAAACAAAAAAAAAATGTTTAAAATCCAGTTAGGCCTTAAAAAAATCGAAGCGTCAAATATCCCCGGACTGAATTAACCAGGTGTGATTTTTACAGTAGATACCCAACATGGCTGCCTACCGCAAAAACGAAGTTCAAAATGTGGGGGAAATGTTTATTGTAACAAAAATGATTATCTTAAAACTCTTTATATTATATTTAAAGTAAATGATGATTAGCAATTCGGTTGACATATGCTGCACCCCAAATAAAGCTACAATTAACATTTCTATACAAATTGAATCAGCTGAATGATCGAACATACACAGATATGGCAGAAAAAAATCATGACTTACTGTCGTAAAAGCCCTTGAGTTTATTCTTTCATACACACAGATTCAATCCTTCAGACAATCTCACAATTAAACTTAAAAGTTA